TGGGCCATAGCCCTTGGCAACCTCCTAGATGCCCTGCTCAGCCCTGGCAGCCCGCAGAGCCTGGGTTTTCCTCTTTGGGCGGGAGTCCAGGTGCTCGCTAGCGCTTACTGGTGTGGCTCCCCCTAGTGGAACGTGTCAGGTCCCAGTTGGGCTCAACACTGCGAGATGGGAGAGACTCTCCCACCCACTCTTATCCCAGCCTGTCCTGCTGCCTCCCTGCTTTAAGCCTTGCACAAATCTGCCTTCAGAAGTTACCAGTCTGGCCTCACTCCATCCTTCTGTAGCTGCAGCCCAGTGCCACTGATGTGGCAGTCCCTAGAAGACTTGCAATCTTCCTCATTGCCCCACTCCAGACTTGGACATCAAGAGAGCAAGAGCCTGAGCTGGGGATGGGGACTGCATGTGCCTTCCTCCATAAACTTGAAGCCCAGTAAAACTCAAATCCTACCCTCTCCACCCCCAGAGTCAGAGGGCCCAGAGATAGAATTAGCAGAGATCAGAAACTGGGAGGTGGGAATTTGATGTGTAAAACAGACAGGCAAAGTAGCATGTTTTGCTACCATTTATTTGCTGTATGGTATGTACTCAAGGCATGAGTCAGGGCTTCTGTACTACTCTCTGATCCCAGGAGACAGGGCAAGCAAGAAGGAGAGCCCAAGGAGAAGCTACCCCATCATGGGAAAATTGTGGGAGTTGGCAGAGGTAGGGGGAGACCCAGCCATCCTGCTCTGACTTCTAGCAATTTCTTCTGCCCTCAGTCATGAGGGGCTCCCTATCCTCCCATCCTATGGTCCCAGGTGCAGCAATGAGAGAGGGGGAGGGAGAAGAGAAAGGAAGACAGGTTGGTGCCAGGTGAAGGCATCTCTGCTCTGCATAGCTATTTGGCCCTGGCCATGACTACAAGCAAAAGTGGGTGCAGATGGCTGGGCCAAGGGCTGTGGTATGGAGTAGATACTCAGTAGGCATGGTTGGCAATGTAGAGGGACTGTGCTGCTGCTCCACCATCTTCTCCACTGCCTTCATACTTGCCCTGGGCTGCAAGCCCATTTACCTGCAAAAGGGAGCACGGAGTAAGCAGGCTGAGCCAGCCCGCAGGTGCCAAGCCCTGCCCAGGCTATAGCCTCTGGGTGCTGCCCCACCCACCACCAACTGTAGCTCCCAACCTCAGCCCGCTTGATGAACTCCTCAGTGGCAGCCCCAGCATTGTCCCGTTGCCCTCGCCAGGCATTGAGTGCAGAGGCTTGCAGGGCACGCCCATAGGAGAAGGTAAGCGCCCAGGGCCGGGGAAGGGGGCAGCGGTTGATGGCATTGAGGTTGAGTGATGCCTCCTCTTCGCTCTGACCCCCAGACAGGAAGGTCACTCCTAGTGTGGAGGAAAGAAGACAAACTGACTGGTCACTCCCAATTTTTCCAGGATAGGGAACCCCTGAAGGCCACAAGAAGGACCTGAAGATGGGCCTTAGGGATAGGAGCAGGTTAGGGAGCTGGGTAGTACCTGGGACAGCTGGGGGCACAGTGCGACGCAGGGCAGTGACAGTTGCCATGGCAATCTCCTCTGGGGTATACTTGATAGGACAGGCATGGCCAGGGGTCACCATGTTGGGCTTGAGCAGGGTCCCCTCCAGGTACACATGATGGTCACTCAGGGCCTTGTACACAGCAGCCAAGACCTGGGTGGGGATTAGAGGAGGTTTACTAAGGGTCTGGGCCCCCACTGGTTACTGCTTGATGCTCCCTATCTAGGGGTAGATGGGCACAGACTGTGAGGGCTCAGTAAAGGCTCAGATCACAGGCCTGTGCCAGGATCAAGTGAAAAAGTGCTACGGGAAAGTGTGCCTGGATCTAAGCTGGGGGCTCTGGGGAACACACACTCCTGCCGAGCTGTCCCTGCAGTATGTTTATGTGCCCAGGTGTGGACTCACCTTCTCTGTAACATACTGACAACGTTTGAGGTCATGGTCTCCATCAGGCAATATTTCAGGTTCCACAATAGGCACAATGCCATTCTGCAGGCAAGAGCAGAGATGCTTGGGAGGGGCAGTACGGGAGATGAAGAAAGCCCTGTAACTCTCTCCCCACCAGGCATATAGGGCACCTAGTTCACCACCCTCCCAACACACACCTGCTGGCAGATACTGGCATAACGGGCCAGCACGTTGGCATTCTCCAGAATGGCAAGTGCAGAGGGCGTGCGCTCACTGATTTTCAGCACACAGCGCCACTTGGCAAAGTCAGCACCATCCTTCTTATACTGGGCACAGCGTTCTGAGAGCCCATCCAGTCCTGTAAGCACAGTGCTAACCTCATTACTCTGCCCCTCTTTTACCAGCATCAACTATCTAACACCTCTTTGGTCCTCAAGCCCACCCATCCTATACCTTGAGTGGTGGTTTCTCCATCAGTCCCAGCTAGAGGCACCACACCCTTGTCAACCTGTAGGGGAAGAACAAGCAGAGGGTCGAATCCCGGCAGGATTCTCCTTGCTACCCCTCCTACACAAGCTTATTTTCACACCCAGCTTCCATTCAGAGCAGGGCCGGGGGCTGCACCTTGATGCCCACGATGATGCCCTTATCCTGGATGGTTCGGACGAAGGGAACACCATTATCATCTTTCTGGTAGAGGGTCTCATGAAAGAAAATAACACCTCCAATGCACTTTTTCACACGATCATCAGCACTGAACAGGACCTGGCGGTACAGCCGGCGGTTCTCCTCTGTGTTCTCCACCCCAATTTGGCTCAGCCGCTTGGCCATGCTGCCTGGGGACAAACAAAGAAAGGCAGTGAGAACATCCCCAGGGTCCCCTAGCCACCTGTACCCTACCTGGCTACAGATGTCCACTTACCTACAGACTCATCCGCAGCCAGAATGCCTTTGCCCGGGGCTACAATCCGGAGGGCAATGTCAGACAATTCCTTCTTCTGCTCAGCAGAAAGGGCTGGGTACGAGTGAGGCATGGTGACAGCTCCCTGGAGTGGAGACAAGATAAAAAAGCTAGACCTCACCCACTACCTCCTCTGCTGCCTCTCCTGGCCAGATGGGTCAAATAGCCTCCCCCATCAAGCAAGGGGCTGGGAACAGGGCAGCAGTCCTTGGCATGAGTCCTGGGCATCAAGTGGCACCAATCCTTCTGACAGCTAGCAAGCTTAGGGCTCCAGTTCCCACATCTCCTTTTGTCCCTGGTAGGCACCCTTCCCAGCCCTGGGGAAAGATGCAGGGTGGGGGTGGGGAGGTGAGCAGCCCTGAAGCCACAGGTCTTCTGATGAATCTGCTGCCCAATCGAGGATGCCAACCCTTCTTTCACTGAACTTAGACCCTTGTTGAGGTAGGCAGAAGCCCTGGCTTTTCCAGCTTCCCTTTTCTCATCCTCCACAGGACCCCTAGGGAAAGTGTACTTACTTCCAAGGCTTCAGAATGAGGCAAAAGTACTTATTGCCACCCTCTTCTCTCAGCTTCTAGAGGAAAAGGTTGGAAGAACAGGTAGGGAGTAGGAGTGGCACAAATACCAGTCATAGGCTCCTGCAGCTTCTCCTTTTCTGTACTCCAAACCTGCCTGCCTATGCCTATTGCCTACTCCCACCCAGTACCGGAGGTTGGCCCCAGTGGGGCTGCAGTGTTGTAGGAAAGAGGGCCCAGCGGGTCAGCTGGGTTAGTGTGTGGAGACTGGGGTTAGTGACACCTCCGGGCCATCTCTGTGCCCAGCGAGCACTTCACCTGCGTGGCGGGAGGGATAGCAGTAGGAAGACTTCAATTCCCCACAACTCAGACACCCAGACGGGAGGGCAGAGGACCAAGGCTGAAAGGAGTGGAGAGCCTGAGAGAGAGATGAGACTGAGGGGAGGTAATGGTGACGCAGGCTAACCAGGTAGCGGGAGAGACCTAAACTAGTGGGCAGAGAAGGCAGGAGAACTGCAGAGAGGACCTAGCCTAGGAGGAGAGGGAGCAGGCTGAGCAGGAAATGCTCTGGGTAGGAGATGCAGACTCCAAGGAAATATCCAACAAGTAGAGGAGGATTTGGGATTGGAAAAGCTGAGGTTCAGGTGGGAGAGCTGAGGAGGGATAGAACAGGAAAGGTTGAGCCATGGGGTTTCAAGTATGCGGAAAGGAGCGAAGATGTTAGGAAAGGGTCGAAAGGGCACATCCTGGAGTCCCAGGTAGCAGGACGAGGATGGCAGGGGAAGAGCCAAGGAGACAAGCGGAGATGTTGAGTGGCTCCTGCCTCGCCTGGCCTTACCTGTGCGCAGCCAGTTAGCAGCCGTAGCCACAAGCACAGCTCGGGTTCTGATCGGCAAACAATTGCGACTGCAGCCCTGGCGCCCTCTGGTAAATGAGGCTGCGGATGCCGCAGAGCTACGTGACTCCTCCGGGGGTGGGGCTGGCACGCCCCGCCCTGACCACACCCCCTCCCCAGGACTGGTGTCCGGGGCAAGGCCACGCCCTCAGAGGCGGGGCGGCGAGGTGGAGTGAGCGCCCCGCCAGACATCCGTGACTGTCAGGGACTGCCCTCCCACCTCGTGGAGCCTAGCCATGACCTTGCGTCCATTTCTGCCACTATCCCTTTACCACGTGCCGGGCACTTGCTGGATGTTGGGGATTAAGCTTGGTCTGGTGAAGAGGAGGCACCGAAACAGTAACAACAGGTTGAGTAGGTGGGGCAGAGGCATCATCAAGGTGCCCAAGTTCAGGGCAGGAAGTAATGAACTGAGCTTCTCTGTCCTCACCCCCATATTTGCCAGGGTGTACCCCCGAGGGGGCTGGGGAAAGTAAGAGAATGAAGCCTTTCTGCTTCCTCCAGGCGGTGAGCCAGGGAACAAGCAGTCCAGTGCCCAGAGTTTTGGTGAAAGCAGGGGAAGGGAGGAAGGGCAGGCAGCCTTGGCTTTGGATGCACCAGGAGGTGGAGAGGGATCTATGGAGGGTACCCAGGCAGGAGGCCCAGGCTGCCTCTTCCCTGACTTCATCATCCGCCCCCTCTCACCCAAAAAGTAAGATTCCGTAAGCTTGGAGAAATACATTAAATACACTTTATTTAAATAGCATTTATCTCAGTTGGCTCTATGCCAGTTGGTCTTGGTATTAGGGTAAAGGGGTATTGCAGGTAAAAAGGGGTGAAGCAGATTCTGGCCTTCAGTTTCTTAGCTCAGAAATTCCAGCAATCCCTGTAGCTCTTTGCATCCCCTCACCACCTCTGGAATAGAGAGCAGGGTCTGGGAAGAGAGGCAGAAAAAGCAGCTCAGGACCACAGGCCTAAGGCCCAGGGCTCCCAGCCCCAGCAGGCAGCCGCTGAATTAAAGGGGAGAAAACAGACACCACAGAGAAGCCTGCAATAGTGATTCAGGCCCAGCTCTCAGTAAAGGCTGGGAACGAGAGATGTGCTCATTAGTACCTCCTGGGGCCAGGCCTTGTACCAGGTACATTAGTTATATCACCTCCCTCCTGCCTGTACCTTATAAATATGCTGAACAATGTCATCTAGTTTTTCTAACTCCTTGTCAGAGCGCCGAAGGTTCTCCTCTAGGATACTTCTCTAGAAAGCAAACAGATTTTATAAGTCCTATGCATAAAAGAGCAAGCTTGGTAGGACAGGGGAAACATGGCAGGGCATTTGCTAATGATGGTAGGAAATGGCCCTGGAATGGCATAGACATTCTTACATGGCTCTGGAACTTGATCATGAGTTTTTCCTTCTCATTTTTCATCTCCAGGAACATCACTCTCAGTTTGTCCACCTAGAAATATGTCCAGATCAACAGGGGTACAGCCTGGGGTCCCCACCTGCTGTCCAGCTCCTCTGTTAACTCTGAGTCACCTCCTGAGAGAGCCACACTTTCTCCTGGATCCAATTGGTGGCCACAGGCTGGCAGCTGGAGTCCAGCTGGCCTTCCAGGGCCTCCTGGAGCACTTTGGTCTCTGTCTCTGCACGCCGAAGTGAGCGGGTAAGGTGGGTCACCTCCTCTCTAAGGCTCTGGGAATAAGAATGGAGAGGTGTCCAATAGGACATAAGGATAGACAACGTGTGGTGAACAAAAGTAAACCATTTCTCATATTTGGGATCCTGGCTGACCAGTAACACAGAAAGCAAAGGCCTGGGCATGATGGTGAACATACTATGAGCTCGCCACTCTTGTCTATCTGTTCTAGGATCTTCTCATTCTGCTGCTGTATCACTTCCTGGAGCTCCTTTTCATTCTGTGAGGGAAAGGAAGGTGAGAAGACACACGGAGAGCTGGTCTCTTCACAGCCGTTGCCAGGAGATAGGAGAGAGTGCCTAACCCATGCTCAGCCCACATGAGACCAATTGATATCACTCCAATTCTTCCTCCAGGGCCAAGCCAGGCAAGGCACATTTCAGTGTTGGGAGAGTTCTGCTAGAGTTCCTGACTTCTCTCCTGGGTCTGCCTGGGAAGATAGGTCAGCCCATAGCTGAAATGTGAAATGTCTGACCCCAGGAAGGGCAAAACTAGGGCAGTGGTTGGAAAATCCCCACCACCCAGATTCCTGGAGAGATAATGGCTCCCAGTGGGCCAGTAGAGCTGCCCCAGTTCTTCATTGCCCCACTTCTAGGTCCCTCCTTCACCTTGTAGCGCAAGCACAAGGCCTGGTTCAGCTTCTCTATGTCTGCTTCCTTTGCCTTCTGGGCTTCCTGATGCTGTTCTTCCTGGGCTTGTAGCCTAGCCTGCAGCTCACAACTGAAGAAAGGAAGAATTCAGCAACATTCTTGTCCTCTCAGGGGCCAATTCAACCCTTGGCATAAGAGGCTGTCTTACTGTCCCTCTGTCACCAAAACTGCATCCCACTCACATTTTTCGCTGCAGAGTCCTGATGGCTTCTTCTTTAGACTCTTGTAGCAGGGAACAAAGACTCTGAAGCTCAATAGTCATAATACTCATTTCTGCCAGGCTCTCCTCCATACCTGGGGTCTCTGAAAGAGAAAGTCCCAGATAGAGGTCTAGCCTTCCAGCCATGGAAGGAAGGAGTGTATAGCCATCATTTCCACAACTCTTATCCGTGTTCCCCACCCACAGGATTTGAATGTCTGGAACATTACAGATCCCAGAAGGCAGAAATAAAATGAGCCCAAGTAGAATTGAGGTTTTTAGAGCAAAGCACTTCTCACTGTTTTTGTCTTTACTCATCACCACCAGATTTTCTAGAAATGAGGCAGGATCCCTGGAGCCCCTCCTAACCTGCAGGCTGAAGGGAAACCATTGATGCTACTCGGGTGAAAGCACTCTTGTCACTTCCAAGCAAGGGCACAGGAGTTGATTCTGGCTCTAAGAGAAAAACCAATAATGGGAGAGGGCCCCTCTGGTCATCCAGGGAGGGGTCTATCATAATGGAAGCCAGGGTAAGACAGACAAGCCCGCTGGTGGACATCTTCAACAGCTGAAGATATTGGGAGCAGGGTTACAACTTTCCCGCCCTCAAATCCCAGGGCCTTTAACCTTCATCTGCCACTGCTATCAAGATGCTTCCCAGGAAGGTGCTGTCATTAGGCAGAGGGTGTTCCTGGGTGGGAGCACAGGCTGTACTCAGCAGAAGGGTCTCTTGTTCAGTCTAAGGGCAAAGAAGAAAAAATAGCTGCTGTTCAGGTCTAGTGAACTCCTGGGCTTCCAGGTAACTCCCAGCCATCTCCTCCAAAATGCTGTTCCACCTATTATCTCAATTATCTATCTTCAACTTCTCCATTAGTGCCTTTCCCTGAACATGTTTATATTCTTCAGCCTCTCCCACAAAAACAGCAGTATTTTAAAAATAAACCTAAACAAAACCCTTCTTCTTACCTTAAATCCCCTTTTAGCTACTGCGAAAGAAAGAAAAGAAAAGAAAAAAGAAAAGAAGGAGCCTATACTTCTTTTTCTTTTTTGAGACGTAGTTTTGCTTTGCGGCCCAGGCTGGAGTGCAGTGGCGCCATACCTGCTCACTACAAGCTC